AATTAAATATTTCAAAATATTTCAAAATATTCAAAAATTAAATTGTGAGTCCAACTAAGAGGCCAGAATGTAGGGTATCATATGCATGAATTTGTGATTAATTCAGAATACTCACACAGTATTTGATTAGGTTAATATATATAAAAATATCAAGTAAGAAAATGTTTTCATGACAGTAAGGAATTACTAAGAATAAAGCATAACAAAAATACTACAATGGCAAATATATGACCAGCACTTCTAACAGTTTCAGGATAGGACATCGCACAAAGTTCTAGTATGTGGGGCCTGGGAGATGGCTCAGTGGAATAAGTGCTTCCCTGGCAAGCACAAGGGCCTGAGTTCAATCCTCAGTTCTGGAAAAAAAAAAAAAAAAAAAGTTGTAGTATGTGGTGGATGCGGACATGATGCTTACTGGTGGCCAGGTGTCACTTGTGGGACTGAGCTACTGCTATTTCCTTGATATCTACCCTGTAGATCTGGATAGAATCATGACCCATAGGGTGCAGGAGAAGTCTATTTGTAGAGTATGCTGACGGAAATACTTTGCTGCTGTATACAAAAGAATAACTGAAAAACTGCTATTGTATACCTATTTTTCTCCTGTGTTTAATTGCTTGCCTTATTTGGTGGGTTCTTTCCGTTCACATTCATGGAGTTGTGGTCATTTTGATCTCTCTCTAGAATATCTTTTAGTAGTGTGTGTAAGGTTGGCTTTGTCGTCATGAAATTCTTTAGCTGTTCTTTGTCATGGAAGTATTTCACTTCTCCATTAAACTTGAAGGAGAGTTTTGCAGGGTGTATCAGTCTGGCCTGGAATTTGTTATCTTGCAAGATTTGAAGTACTTTGTTCCATGCTCTTCCTGACTTGGTGGTTTGTGAAGAGAAACCTGTCATTATTCTGATGGGTTTTCCTTTAAATGTGATTTCTTTTCTTTAGCGGCTTTTAGTGTACTGTTTCTGTGCTGAATTTCTGGGATCTTGATTACTGTATGTCTGGGTGTGGTTTTAATTGGGTTGATGTTATTTGGAGTTCTATATGCTTCAGTAACCGAATGTCAGATTGTTTCCCCTTGTTTGGGAAGTTTTCTGCTATTACTTTTGTCCATATTCTTTTCATATCATTTGTATTGACTCCTTCTTTCTCATTGATGCCTTTTAGTCTTACGTTCATCTTTGTCTCATCTTACAGATGCTGAATTACTTTGCCCTGCATCCTAGTTGCTTTTAAGAGATTTTTTTTTTTTTTTTTTTTTTGGTAGAACCAGGGATTGAACTCAGGCCCTTGCGCTTGCCAGGGAAGCGCTTATTCTACTGAGTTATCTCCCTGGCTCATTTTTAAAAGATCTTTTCTTACCTTTTCACTACCTGCAATAGTATCTTTATGGTCTGAAAGTCTATATTCACTTTCATTCAAACGGTTTTTCCAGCTTATGATTGTTTTAATTTCCTGCATATCACTTTGAATATTCATGCATTCTATTTCTTTCCTATATTGCTCATTCAAGGATTCCATCATATTTATATTCTCCTCCATTTTTTTTTAAATCAGTGTCTTCTTTAGAAGCACTCAGCACTTCTTTCATTAAAGTTATCATTTCTTTTTTTACTTCAGAAATTATTTCCTTTTTTTTAATATTTATTTATTTTGTGTGTGTGTGTGGCCAGCTCAGCCCACCAGGGGGCGGGGCTGGCTGGCATGTGGTGCTGGGGGAGATTGAACCGCAGCCCCTGTTCTTTGTTTAGCTTAGCTTGTTCTAAGTAGGTGCTTTAGACCACTGAGCCATCTCACCAGCCCCCAGAAATTATTTCTGATCTGATTTCCTCTATACCTTTCTGCAGTTGTTTCTTTACTTCAGATGCTATTATTTCACAGATTTCAGTTGTATGACTTCTAATTTCTTCTATGCTATTATATTGTCTCCTGCACCTGTTCTGGGTGGGCTTGGGGCCTGACAATGCATTTTGCTTCTTCTCTTCATCATTCTATATAGCACTGTCTTCTGACCTTTGGTGTAGAGCTTTGGTGCACTTATTACCTTAGCACCAGGTCCAGATCTACCAAGTTCAAACTCGTCCAGGTGAGTGTGGCTTGGGTCTGGCTGCTGTGCTCCACTTCTTCCTGGTGCAGCCCTTGGAAGTAAACCTGGTGTGCCACTCTAGCAAGATGTTCTCTCCTGATCAGCTGGGTGGGTCTGGCTCTAGCCTCTCTGCAGAAGTTCTACTGCAGGGTTCCTCACCAGGCCTGTCTGATGGAAGAAGTAGAAGTTCCACACACATGCCTGGCCTGGGTGCTGGCTGGAAATGAAGATTCAGCAAATCAACAGGCAATCCTACTCACACACTGGGCCTGGGTGCTGGCTGGAGTGAGGATCCAGCAGGCCTGGGCCTTGGATGGAATGAGAATCCGAAGGGCTCCAGGCTGTCCCACTGACACGCTGGGCCTGGGTGCTGGCTAGAGTGAGGATCCAGCGGGCCCCAGGCTGTCCTACTCCTCATATGTACTTAGTGTGGCATTTTCAAGTACCTAAGATATCCATGACTAAAACCACACTGATTATCTTTCCCAAGTCTCCTCCAATACTCTTTTTCCATTAATACCACAACCCCTGAATACTGTACTTTTCTAGCATCATAGATAACCTGTGTTAAAGTTCGCTGATTGTATTCCTATTTCCTCCACTAAAAATCTATGTCCTCAATGCTTTTCCATCAAATTTCTCTAAAAATTTCATAGCAGGTGAATTCTGCTTTCAGCCCAATGTTAAAAAAAAAAAAAAAATTACTAACCACTAACTGCTTTCTTAGGCTCTGTCAGAAAACAAAGATGCATCCCTGACACTCCCCCACCAGCTAATACAGTCTCCCCAAGAAAAATGGGAGCTGTATCAAATACAAGACTTCTATGCTCTAATAAGTCCCACATAAAAAGAGCGATCTAAGAAAAAGATTATCTCCAGTTTGTTCAGAAGTTTTCACTTGCAGGGATGGGGAGATGGCTCAGGTGAATAAGCGATTCCCTGGCAAGCTCAAGGGCCTGAGTTCAATCCCCAGTTCCGCAAAAAAGTTTTCACTTGCATGCCTTTCATGGGGTAGTTATAATATTGAAGAAAAGATGGAGGTCATGAATGACTGCTCCATTATAACACTGTACTATACCTGCACTCAACTCAACTCCAATTTTCCTCCATACACAAAGCAAATAAAAGTAGTTTTTCTAAAAAAATGTATTTAGTATAGGGTCTACAGGGTCTCACTACACAGATCAGACTCATAGTGATTCTTTTGATTTCTTTTGCTTAGTCTCCCAAGCACTGCAATTATAGGTGTGTGCCACCACACCCAGTCTCAATTGCTATCTCAGCATGGCCTGGGGGCAGGGCTGGCATGGCAGCCCAGGGATAGAACTCCTGGCCCCTGCATCTGCCTAAGCAGGCACTTTAATCCACTGAGCTATCTGGCCAGGCCAGAAGTACAGATTTTCTACACACACACACACAAAAAAAATAATAATAATTAGATGCTCATGACCACAGCACATGTTTTTAAAGGAGTTGTTTACAGGCTCATGGAGTAGGAGTTAAAATAATAGTGTCAATCTAGTTTAACAATCAACATGTAAATTCATCACACTGGTGGTGCTGAAGACTTGCTTAGAAACTTACAGAGATGGGGATCTGAGCACCTCACAAAAATTTATTTGCATATACTAACTCTTGTTGACAAAATAATTCTTCACCTGGAAGAAAAACTACCACATGCTGTTCTCAGTTCACTCCTCCAGCATGAAGAAAACGTCCAATTCCACACAATCATCCTCTAGCTATATGTGGCATACTATTAAGTCTGTCAACCCTCCTACTTCCCATCTACCCACACATCTTCTTGATGTGCTGTTTTTCTAATGCTGGGCATTGAAATCAGGGCACTGCATATGCAAGGCAAGCACCCTACCATAAGCTATATCTCTAGGTCTTATTAGTTTTCATTTTGAGACCTGGTCTCACTAAGCTGCCCAGGCTAGTCTTGAACTTCTGATGCTACTGCCTCTCACAAGTAGCTGGGATTACAGATATGAACACCAGGCCTGGCTTTTCTCTACAATCTTTGATTAGAAGTTTGTGTTGTGAAGAGTTCCCTTACTCTCTTTATATTACAAATTCCTATTATATAATAGCATTCTTTTTTTTCACTCCCACATCAAAAACTGACACTGAAAGGTGGTCTGTTTCCATTAAAAGATGCGAATATCTTTCCCTAAATGACCTTATGATATGTAGTATGAAAACTCTTTACACCAAATGGAGCCATTCCTGTTGCAACCTAAGAGTCTGGGGGCTATGGAAAGGAAGTGGGTACACTTAGGCCACTGACGCCTGCTCCAGACAGCACCTCACAGAATCAATCCAATAAGACAAGCTACCCTGTCTTTAAAACTGTCTGTACTGAGCCCCTGAAGACAGAACTTCCAACTATGATCTAAAGACTAACTTTATACAGTAACTGCCATAACTCACCCAGCAGAATGTGGCAGTTCCCTCAACTACTAAAGGGGTCAGTGACTCTTCTTTCATAATAACTTGCGTAGATTTCTGTCCTACTAACTTTCCTTTGTTCTTCAGACAAAACAGAGGCAACCAGATCTATATATGAGTGTCCCAGATTGGAATCATATTCTTTATGCCCAAATGCAAGTTCTTTCACTGGAGATTTGTCTCTCCATTTTTATTCAACATTTATGTAGAAATTAGTTACCAATACCAGGCCCTGTTTAAATCATGCAATTCACAAGGGTGCCCTCAGCTAGCAAGTCCAGATAATCATCCACCATTTGTGTCAACTTAACTTTATGAGCTGACACCCCTTACTGTATACTCAAAATTCTTGTGATCTGAATTTTCCCTGTGTACAAGTCCAAAGAGGAGTTAAAACCTCAGTAGAAGTTAAAAAGTCATGGTTTGAGGATACGTACAAAAACATGCAAGATCTCTACAGGATTTGATTTAGGAGGAAGTTATGAACTAGAATTCCCAAATTTCACATGTCTACTGTGCACTAATCTGTTCTGTACACAGCAGAAGCCAAACATGTACCTCTCCTAATTTTAACTGTTCCCACAGAATACTGGCATACTCATCCACTAGACCAGCAGCCAGTTACCTTTCAGAAGCGAGAAGAGAGAGAGGACTATACTCACTACACCAACACCCTACTCCCACCCCTAATTTCAAATGCAAATACTTCAGAAACTTGGAAATCTATTTAAATTGCATTAAACAGCCATTAGATTGCAATCTCCCAGTTAATATTAACATCGACAAGGAAATAAGTTCTGACTTGGAAGTAAGAAAGAAAACATTTACAAAGAGGTAGGATCAGTGTAGGATGCAAAAATCACCATTGCTAAGCCAGCAGAAACTAGCCTGAAAACACAGTATTTGGGGAATGTAGGGAAAAGAGTGCAGAGAGAAAAGAGAATGGGTAAAAGACAAATTTCCTTAGTGATAGAGGTAATCTAGAAAGTCTCGTAAGAACCTCTGTAGGATACCATGCTAGCACTAAATGTTCAATGTTTATAAAAATCAAAATGTCAATCTGACCCCAAACCTTTACATTTGACCCCAAAATTCCCACACCTAAATGCATCTGTTCAAAACTTTTCAATACTTACACCTGGTCTTCAGTTGCAGAATTATATTCTCAGGTCTTCTAGTTATGCTAAGATAAATGTGTTTATCATTTTTCCATTTTCAAATTCAAAATTTAGTGAATATTCCCACTGCTGTTACAAGAATTCATGGCATTTTAAAGCCTCAACCAACCTACTTTCATAAAATGACAATTCAGTTCTACAGCACTACTCCAAAGATCACAGTCAACTCACCTCATCATCATGTGCAGGAAAGACCTTTAAAACTTGATTCCCCATAAAGAATTTTCTCTGGACCTACAAAAATAAGAAAGGGAAAAGATGGTTTTGATCTACAATAATAAATATGTATCTATAATGTCCCATGGTGCTAAGAAAATCTACTCAAAACATTCTTACTGGAAAACATTCACAATGACTAGGGACAGCTTATTACTTGAAGCCCAATTCCATTCAACACAACAAATAACAGGACAACACTTCTCATATATATATA